CTAATATGCTATGACACTGTTTCATGTAACGATGTATAGGGACTTGCTTTGAAAAAATCAAACTCTAATCTGTTTACATTATATCCATGAGCGGATATGTTATGAACACGTGATATAATAGGCACTTAGTTTTACCATTCCTGCTACTGTGGCTTTGTAAAATATATATGTGATGGATAGTTATTTAAACTGTATATGGGTTATTTTTAAAAATATGATGCCTGAATTCAGCAGTATTGCGTGCATTAACTGTCACTGAAACCATGCTAACCTGTGTTCAGGCAGCTTAGGTGAGCTGTCTTTACAGCGCCCCAATGATACAGTGAAAGCTCTCCTGCCAGATGGCTCGGGGGGAGGGCTTCAACCAGGGAGCGCTTTAATCAATCTGATTAAGGGGAAATGCTGCCTGTATTTTTAGCCACTCCATGGCAGGCCAGTAGCCATTCATTGAATTTTGTTTCATTAGCTCTCATGTTTATCTCCTGGACGGGTGGGTTTATAAACAGGGGTGAACCAAAGTAGGAGCTAAAATAAGGAATCCGTTAGCTATTTTAGCTAATAAGGTTCTTTAGTAAATGTTCTTATGAATAACTGAATAGTCACTATGTTATTCCAATAATAAAGGCTTCATTTATGGCCTGACTGCTGCCGAAACAAATTACAATTTATCTTGAAAAAATGGTTATTTGTTGTTTCTAGGGCTGCAGCCTCTCTCACTAGCCAGATGTTGTTAAATTCCAAGAAAAAACATGATCTTAAAATGAAAATCCCTAAAGACCTGATTCCTCAGAGAGAGGGAAATTCCGACAAATTCCTATATAGACTAAAGTAAGACAGCACTTAGATCTAGCTTAAACTAAGAGAGCTGTCCTTGCAAATGGCCAAATTATCGAAAGCTCCAGCTGGCTCCTAAAACATGTGCTCTGTGACTAGCTGTCAACAGTTTACTCATTTACTGGCATGACTGATTATTTTAGGTGATGTAATGCGATGATGTGCTTGTCACTCTCAGGACAACCATCCCAGATAGATGCAATAATGCTCAGTTAGGCAGCAAAGCACAGCAATGTGTAATAATGGTAAACATGAAAGAGAGAAGGAAATGTATTGCTGGAATTGATAGCTAGAGACAGATAAACCATCATTAGTAGCCTCCTAGCAGAGCATAATTCAGTTTAAGATATGATGCTAAAAAATGCACTACTACGTATGCTGTATTACTCGCATCAAAAGTGACTATTGTTGATGGTGTTCTACATCTCTCATCATCCGTTATCCCCCTCCCTAATTTTCTCTTTACCTAAGACTAAATGTGCATGATGTCAGTAAGTGGTTTACAGTATAGTATGCTTCACGACCCTCATATTTACCCACCAAGGCTGTGTAAACATACACATGTCCTGTCTTTGTCAGATTTAAGTAAGCCCTCAAGCAGCTCTGAGACCTTTGCTTTGCTATGACTCAGAGTAGAGTCCCAGCTGGTGTCCTTTCTGATTAATTATTTTATTAATGTAATGTTACAAAAGCTAAAGTAATAATGTACTCTAAAAAGTTGTACTTATAAGGGTTTTTGTGTGTGAAAGTGTCTGGGGATTCAGGTGCATGCATGCCTCTGGGAACATGAACTGCTCTATCACAGATGTGTTTTCTCTAATGTGGGACAGTGTGGAGGTGCCTGGAGAAACTCTGTCCATATGAGACAATGTTTCCTGGAAAGCCTGAGCGTTTGCATTATTTTCCCAGCATTACTCAACCCAAGTAATTATTAGTATTGCTTTATTGTTATGGAAGGAAGAGAAACAGAGAAATTGTATCTTAATCAGAACTGAGTATATCACGTATCATATCACTTCTGTTGTGAAATGGGGAGCATGTGTGTTATATTTTTGGTGTTACCAAGTGTCATTAGCATTACATGATTGAAGGTTAATTGTTTTGAGTTGTGGCCATGTGTACATTTTCATAAATTCACTGTATTTGATACCTGCATAAGTAGTGTTGGTATACAATCAAGTATAGTCAACCATGTAATGAGAGGATGACAATTAACTAGGAAAAATGCCTATAGCTAAGTATAATAGAAAACGAATGGTCTTGCACTGTTCAATTTACCCACAAATGTCCTTATTTTTTTAAAGATTTCTTTGGGTGCCTTAATTCAAGTACACATGGTCCAGCGCCTGATTTGAACCCAGGTCCTCCCCCAGTACATGGGCCGTCTACCAACTGAGCTATACGATGGCCCTACCCACACGTGTCCGAAGAGGTTTTCCTGTCCTTTCCTGACTCCTAAAAACACAACCTCATAGATTTATGAGATTGAATTGACAGCAATATCATAAGGGTTTGCCGGGGGCCAGTTCTTTACATTGACGTCTGCGTGTGTTCCAAGTATTATGGCCTCTGTGACCCTTATAGACCTGGACTCATTCCAAATGATGGATATCAAAGGACATCAACAATGATTGGAGTCCATTCTGAAAAAGCCCCTACTTCATCATCTTGTCGTGCAATTGAAAACTGTCGGGCTCAATATCATAATGGCTTTTGGCTTACCAACCTCTCTATCTTGTTTGTGTCTCTTTATCCCTCCCCTTTGACTTGAAGATGATGTTATTTACTTTTTCTGTTGAGGAGAATTCCTGTTTTGGTTTTGTTTCTTTCTGCACAAGTTGGCCTCACAGTATTCTGTTCTCCTTCTTCTTAATATTCAACATTTACTGTCAACAAACATCTACAGTATGCCCTGCATGCAATTAATTGTATGCTGCACAGTGCTGGGTTTCAATGCATTTTACCCTTACATTAGCATCAGCAACAAGGCTTGAACCACCACACTCTGCCAATTGATCCTTTCAGCAGCATCCCCATCTTTAGCAGAACCTTGAGTGTCATTGAAAGAGACAGGTAGTTGAGAGAATGCAACACAGCATGGCATGCAATAGCCCATGCAGCCAGGAAACAGGCATATAAAGTAGCATCATGATTCACAACTGACCAGGGCAGTGAGCGTCAAGTTAAGTCCTGAGGACTCCAGTCCATCTCTGAAGACTTGAACAAAATGGAAAAATCCTATTTAAAGTCTGACTCGTGCCTAAAAATTTCAGGATACAAATCATTTTTACCGACACCGCCGGAAGCAGAGCAACCGAGGTAAATGGGGAAATTATCAAATTGGAAAATAAATGAATTGCAGAAAAACGTGTACTCGAACACAAAAGGTTACTTTTATTTTGTACTTCAATCAGAAAAGTAAGAATAATGAAAACTATTCAGTCAATATGCCAGCTGAGGTGTAAGAGGAGCTGATATGAGTGTGTATTGGTGTATGAGTGCATGAAGGACTGGGTAGTGATTTGATGGTTGGTACCCTGAGAGCCATACGTTTTGTGTTTCAATAGAAAATGCAATTACTGAATGTGATCCTTTCATATGGTTTATAGCCAAGGATTGTCATTTATAAAATGTGCTGTACCTGTGTGCACTGATTTATGAGTCTGTGTGTGTGGGGAAATAGAACATGGAGGCATTTACTACATTCATAATTCTCACCAAAGCCCAAATAGTGCTATGTGGCCATTGTAAAAGAATATGAAATAGTCTAATAAACGTGAGGGTAACTAAACATGTGCCCATTAAGAACATTTGCGGCAAGAGATCCAAACAGTGCAGCCAATAGAAAGGGATGTAAATGTTCCTTTTTGAACTGAATGAAAGACTAATAAGAACATTTTAACAACATGTCATCCTTGCATTGGTTCCATTCAATACCTTAAGTTGCGAAGCCGCTCAAACCAAGACAACATGGTCATATCCTAGACATTGTACTCCCATTAACTTGGTTGTGCAGGATTTAAGGGGATTTATTAGCAAAAATGCAATATCATGTTTTGTTTAGTGTACCTGCAACTAAGAATCAATGCCCTTCCTGTCACTATACAAAGCAGGTCCTCTTCTACAGAGTCATTTTGTATGTTTTATGTTACCTGAAAGCCGCAATATGTTCTACATGTTTGGAAAGTGAGGAATGAGCGACAGATATTTATTTGGTTGCAATCTGCAATTTCACCGCTTGATGCCCATACATCCTACACACTGGACCTTTTACACTTTTTAAGAGGTCCTCTCAGAATCCAAATTAGGATGGATGAGTTTTGTAAATTATTTAAAGATTAATACGATCTGTCATTTATCGAAAGTGCGTTGCTGGGATCATGACCAAAAAGCAAATGGGGACATTAAGTGAGTATAGATTTAATCTGGACATCAGTGAGCTCAAACACAGATTCTGAATGTCGTGGACAGTCAGCCGAGGGGTATTTATGTCCTTTTTAAGTGAAAAGATGTGCCAACTCGAACTACACTGCTGCTTGTTAAATATTTATTATCTTGTATTTCCCTGCACGGGTGTATTGATTTGTACTCTTTTAGGAGTGCCATAGTGCCATTGGGCACATAATCATTTCGTCAGCATCTCAAATTCTGCCCGAAGTGGATACTAGCCATTATCTAATTTCACTCATGCTGGCATTTTTGTTACCCAGACGCCTGTGCAGCTTTACAGTTCAAGGTGACATGTAAACTAAGTTCAGATGACATCTGAATGTGCAAAAATACAAGTCTGAGATTAAACATGCATATAATGACACTAACTTCAAAAGCTGGCACATACACACACATTGCATCACCTTTGAAACTGTACTTACATCTGTTACCCACTTTTCTATTTTATAGCACTTACTGCGCTCACTTGTGTGTGCACACACACACACACGCACACGCACACACACAAACACGTTGCTGTACCTTGAGGGCTCATTCATTATTTTACATTCATACTTTCTAGTGTAATCCTCCTGTACTTTGTGCACTCATGCTTTACTTTTTTGAAGGGTTAGGCTACTTCTTCTCTGCTTCTCTGACAGTACATGCCTAATTGCCTGACGTCTCTTCCTCCACCCCTCTTCCTCCTCCTCTCCCTCCCTCCCTCTCTCTCTCAGAAGTGTGACTGCCTGCTCAGCCTGGAAGTATATTCAGCAGACCAGAAGCGCCGTGTGTGTCAGTGCCTGAAGGACAACATTGACAAGCAGCTCCAGCTTCACAGGAGGGAGGCTTCCTTTCAACATTTTGATGAGGTATGCCACATGAACACACACATCTAGGAACATTTCCAATTTTATTTGAGGACAAAGATAAATAACTAAACACATGAACACATGGAAATGCGTATATATGTGCATTCCCCCATCACTGATACCTTATGAGCACCATACTCTTCCAAGCATCACACTCGCTTTCCTGCAGCTCATATTACAACCATTGTGATTTTCCACTTAGCTCTCACATTTATTTTGCCAAGTTTAATGCTGCCTTTTATCTGGCTGGATTTAAGTGTCAACTCACTGCATTTAATCATTTTTTTGCTCTGTTCAGTAATGCCAAAAGAGGGATGTTTTCAAGCGAAAGCAGCGCTGCTGCTGTTACTGCACTTTGTGTATTTTAACAGAACTTTGCCTCATGAATTGTATTTATTGTGATAATTTAAAAACACTTACCACACAAGACAAGACTGAGTCCTGAGTAAAATAAAGTTGGATACAAACTCAAGTTTTTCACTGTGATTTTAGGAAGGAAAACCTTCTCTGTTTTGTCTTCTCATTGACATGTTTGTTTTTATGTTCAGCTTCCATCTCACAGTACAAAGCAGCACTAAGCTGGGGTTAAGTAAGGGCTGCAGTTTGTAAATAAATGTTTTTTTTGCGCTATTTTCACCAGGATGGAGATGAGAGATAAGCATGACAGGTCATTTCTAATGCCCATTCCCAGGAGCTTTACTTGCTCTTTCTCAGTTCCATTAATGTAGAAAAAACATAAATAAACTCATTGGTTTTGCTAATGATAGCAATAGGTTGTTCTCTGACCACCACTCTGTAAGATTGTTAATTTCCTGTGTATATATAATCTCATCTATCTTTGTAATGTGGCTGAACATGGTAGTGACAACCACAACCTTCAAAACAGAGTTATCTTCATGTCCAGGGGTTGTTGTTGGTGTACAGCGTGAACAGGAGGTAGCTGAGCACACAGCCCTGGGGGACTCCGTGTTCAACACTAGAGTCGAGGTGGAAAAGACCACTGATCTGAACTGCCTTGGGTCCAGCATATACAGATTGTAGCACCATCTGCGTTGAAGTTTAGTCATGCGTCAGTCCACCTGATGAACCTTTAAGTCATTTTCTTTTTGGTCTTTGGCAACCCCTGATGGCAATATCTGGCTGTGTAGCTGCTAATGGCTCTAGACAGACATATTTATTTAATCTTTTTAGCTGAAAACAGCTGCCTGTTGCAACCAAAAACACCAACTTGGAACTGCCAAGTATTGGATGATTCTCTGGGTTTGTCACTATGTGCCACACCTTTCACGTCAAAATACAGATTTTAGTAGCTTGTTCTTTCTAAGAATTCACACTTTTGGAATAAGTAACGTTTATTTGAATCCAACCATGTGCAGAATGTGAAGTTTTCTAAAGCTTTTCTAAAAACAATCTAAATCACTGTTGGATTAAGTCAGTACACCCCTACTTGAAATGTAACACAGTAGTGGTGCATGGTGCTGTTAGGATTCACTGTAACTGATCTGTAAGTGTTCTGTGGGCTCACTTGAGTGCCCTTGTTAAGTGGCTGGCGGCTGCAGAGCGGTGAATGAGATTCTTGTGGGGCATTTGGTCATTCAAGCATTCCTACAGCTGAGCAGGACAATCTTTTCAAAAAATGTTTTATTTTCCTGTCAAGGAAATGTCTTTTTGGTGAAATGTTTGGTGCTGGCGATTTTCAATCTGACAAACTTTGGACAAAATAGAATGTGGAAAAAGGGTAGTATTATAGTTTAAGATCTGAAGCTGTAATATAGAATATCGGTATTTAATGAATAGATTTTAGCAGTGACATCCTACATTTCAAAGCAGTGCAACCCAGTTAATTTTGCTGAAAGGTTAAAAGGGATAAATAGCTTTGAGTTGAGATGTCACACAACATGTGTGACATCTCTGTATGAAACAAACCCCTAATGAGCAACATGCTCATTAGGGGTTTGTTTCATCAGCACATGAAAGAGAGTAAGAGTGAGAGACTAGTCAACAGTCTATAATGCCTCTCTTTCTATATGAACGCCTATTCATTTGTGTTCATGTTTATGTGTGTGTATTTTTGACATATGGTTTACCCAAAAATATTCAAGTGTAAACAACGCAGAACTTGGCCTGTAGTTGAATATTCTCCAACATTTTAAGGGTGAATTGTGCCAAAGAAATCAACATATTTAAACATTCATACAAACAAGAGACATAAGTTATACCACAGCGGCTTTGTACAAATTGCTTTCCTGGCCTGTTTCCTCCTTTGAGCATGTGTGAATAAGGTGCGACGGGCTGACCGAATGATCACATTTACACACATTGCTGTGGTCAATACATTCAATAACTAAACAGCTTGGAAAGCATGCTCTATCACGAAAGTAAATTCCATTGACTTGGACTGTTTTGACAAAACCGCTAAATTGATCGGTATAGACATGGTAAAAGAAACTGCCATGATTGATTGCTTTTCCAATTTTCATTAGTTTTTAACAAGTTCAATCATTCATGAAGGATATATCATTGCCTCATGTTTCAAAGCCTTTGTAGCTAATTATGCTTATCAAAGCGTTACCTGTTTTCTCTGGTAAAACCCAGTCAGTCCCATAGGAGGAGGGACCTGCCTACCTGCTCTGAAACAACATTTTTGCCTAATAAAAAACAAACACATCCTATATATCGTTAAGCTAGCTACCACAGCTCAAAACGAATAGTTAGTTGCAGTTTTATACGATAACCCAAGTTTTATTTTATTAAAAAATAAACACCTTAAAATGCCCTCGTAGGATGGACAATCGATTCAGACACTTATAGTGCTATCGCAAATACATGTTACATTCAAGTGTGCGTTGTCCTGCCATGTGGAGATATTCCTGTACACTTTCTTTGTGCAGTCATTAGAACCTTTTACTGTGAACTCTTATTAAAGGGAAATCTGAACCCCTGAAGGCAAAAATAATACATGTTTAATCATAACATTTTACATCTTGACAAATTAGTTCACTTTTGATTGCATTTCTCCAGAATACCTTTGAGGCAAATAGTTTGTATTCAGTCAACTGTGTTTAATTATATGTAAATCAGCAGGAGATATGAGGAAGGTGCCTTTGTAGTAGCGTATCTGATGCATGGGAACTTAAAAAATGGTGTTTTGTGTAATTTAGTTAGGACGTTTCTGTTATGTAATTTTATATCTGGGTCAATCTTTTTTTAGAGATTGTAAATGCATTGGATATATACATTTAAAAAGAGAGTGAATATCAAAATGACAACAAACACGATTAATAGTCTGCCACAATGCCTTAAATAATTATTCAAATGTGTGCTTTGATTTAACCTCTCTTCACAGTCACTAGTTTATAAAATGTAAATAGTTCAAGTTCAAAACATTTCAGAGAATGTTCCAATAATTGGACATGGAGTCATATTCCTGTGGTGGTGCTAAAATAACTTAATTTGTGCCCCATTGTTACTGCTAAGCCTCCACCAGAACGTACTCCCTTGTGTTACAAACTGCATTTGTCCTCTCATGCACAAAGTCCAGTAAATCCAAACTTAGCTGAAGCTTGCACTTTACTCTTGCTGAAAGAGCAGAATCCACTCCAAAGGGAAACAAACATCTTACAGAGCCACGTTGCTTCTTTCATTCATGTTTCTCCAACAAATGGGGTTACTCCGTCACAGTGTGCCTCGGTGCCTCCACTCTGTGATCGCTTTAAATGCTTCCCTTTGGAGACAAAAATTGGATATGAGCCCTTTTGCCCTCGAAGATTCTTTGAGTCGGGCAAAAAGTTGCCATTTTGTGTTTGTATGGAGCTTAATTTAAAGTCGGTAGATGTTGAACAGAGTATTTGAGGAAAATGTTTATGATGATTAACTCCAATTTGAATAACTGATGCTGACTCTGGTTGTTTTGCTACCAAAATCACGACAGAATAATCTGACATGAAGCTGTAGATGCCACAAAATATATATGGCATAAAAGTGGTGCATAACTTGGCCAGGAGTCTGCCAAAGGGATGTAAGAGTCATAACAAGAATATTACAAGGTCGGGTGTTATAACTGAGGATGACCCTGGACATAGACCTTCATAAAGATGCAGAGGCAGCTGTCGTACAATGAGACTTTGTAAATTATGTAAATAAAATCATAAAATCTAAAACAAAATATATTTTCAATCTTCTCAGTCAATTTGCCTGTCATGCTGATTTAAAAGTTGATCAGAATATTAGCTTTGCCTTACATTTATTTTGATTTGAGTAATTTTAGTTGATTTCAGTAACACATAATACCTCCAAATTCATTCAGATTAAGGTGTAACTCTGTGTTCTTCTCCTGATTACGTGTTAATAATTTATTACAGTATTATATAAACTGCAGTATTATATAAACTGTAGCATTGCTCTAATAAACTGATTACAGTGAAAACATTTAATTCAATATTTATTTATTTTACATCACATTTCACACTGGGACATCACATGCTTTACAGTAATGAACAATTACAGGCCCATATCAAACCTCCCATTTCTAGGTAAAATCATTGAAAAAGTTGTTTTTCAACAGTTGAGTAATTTCTTGCGTTTAAATAACTGTTTCGATGTGTTCCAGTCAGGCTTTCGTCCAAACCACAGCACTGAGACTGCTCTTATAAAGGTCTTTAATGACATCCACTTAAACACAGACAGTGGCAGAACTTCAGTGTTAGTATTATTAGATCTCAGTGCTGCGTTTGACACTGTTGACCACAGCATATTCCTAGACCGACTGGAAAACTGGGTGGGACTTTCGGAAACAGTTCTAAATTGGTTTGAATCCTACTTAAAGGACAGAAACAACTTTGTTTCTATAGGTAAATACACATCTGAGTTGACAAATATGACATGTGGGGTTCCTCAAGGCTCCATCTTGGGGCCTCTTCTCTTTAACATCTACATGCTACCACTGGCTCAGATAATGAAAAACAACAAAATAAGTTACCATAGCTATGCAGATGACACAC